AGGTGCAAGGTTTCGGCTTTAGGGCTTATATAGGGAATAGGGAGTTTCGGGTTCAGGGTTTAGGGTTTAAGGAGCTTGGGGTTCGGGGTTTAGCGCCAAATTCCTCCCGACCGTCATAAACCCAATGGGCGCCTATAGTTGGTTTTTGGAACGGCTACACGGGGTCTTACACGGTTTTTTGTTTGAGGGCACCCCAAGACACCACCCAGTACCAGAACTTCTGCATTACCGGAGGTAAACTGAAAGAACTACTTGCTGAGATTCTTCTATCATGATTTTGTGCGATAAGGAATAGTTAAACGGTCCATTCTTTAGCCTTCGTGTCGAACTTAGGCGGAACTTTTTGTCGAAATTATTCTAGGGCTAAATTAACTAGGGTTACGTTAAGTCCGAAACCTAGGGGCAAACGGATCTATCTCCCGAACGGGACCTTCAGTCTCACTGGCTGCAGAGATTCAGTCAGGGTTTGAGGGTTTAGGGCTTAGGGAATCAAGAGCCCAGCGACAACAGCCTGCAACCACACTGAGCCCGATAAGAAAGCGTAGATCACACCCGAAAAACAGAGCCCTAAACCCTAGTCCCTAAATCCTAAACCCCAAAATCCAACAAACCCAAAAACACTGCGGGTGGCTGAGCAAATGGCTCAGCCGCCTCGACCAGCTTGGCTCTTCCTTAGTGATGGTAGCCCAAGTTCTTAGGGTTTACGGGTTGAGGGGTTTGGGGGTTAGGGTTTTGGGGTTTAGGGTTTAGGGGGTTAGGGGTTTAGGCTTTAGGGATTAGGGTTTCGGGGTTTAGGGTTTAGGGCTTTAGGGGTTTCGGGGTTTAGGGTTTAGATTCGGGGCTTAGGGTTTGGAGGGGTTGAACTTAAGCCTTTTTCAAACCCCACATACGCCCCATGATATCATGTACAGTCAAACCCCGTCTGGCCGTCAAAGTCGACGCCAACACCCTACATGCACGGGACCCAAACCCGTTTGCAACTGGCTTGCAACGTCACTCCAGGACAGCTGGGGTCCCTAAACTTTATCAAAAAAAGCAAAAATCCTCAGCTCTTACCCCACTACTTAAGCCCTATAACCCTCAACCCTAAACCCCATAAAAGCCCGCACCAACCGCTTGGGGCTCCGGGCGTTCCGCCTCGGCGGCTTCTGTCTTGCGCCGCAGGGCTTGGAATCGATCCTGGGATTGAAACACGGTTTAGGGTTTAGGGTTTAGGGACTTTGAAACGGCCTCTCAGCGTTAAGGGGTCTGGTTGTGAAATTAGGGCTACCCGTAAAGATCCCATTAGTCAGAGTCTGTCTCAGGAATTCCTTGTCTTCGACTCTGGAAATCAGGTTTCGACTCTCACTCTCGCACAAGACAGAGGTTTAGCATAAAGCCTTGCAATAGCCCACAGTGCTCCCTAGACGCAATCTTGAATATAATTCATATAAATAATATAGTAAAATATGATGTCATATCATATAATATATTAATATATTCACATCTTATAACATACTATACTCTTCCAAGTCTTTCCGTGGCTCCCCCTCCGACTCCTTCCGCCGGGCACGGTAGCGGGGTGCTTAGGGCTGATAGGAGGGGAGGGAATCCTCTGCCATGAACGCGCATCCAGCCCACGCTAAGTGCTGCAGGTGCTGTGGGCATTACCACAAGTAATCTGGGAGAAAGGCCGGGGGCCCAGAACTCTTAACCCTTTGCATCAGGCTGGTATGGTCTGGCCTGGAAATAATGAACAGTTCGTGTAGCCTGGTAGGTGGTCACTAGTAAGTGCAGCAAATGGAAAGCAGACACCCCGTTGCCACGCCCCAAAACCCGAATTGGAATCCTGAAACACCATTTTGCTTTTAAAACCCCAGGAGGCCTCTCAAGAGCCCTCATGAACCCCAGAAACCCAACATTGAGCCATGAAGGAGAGGTATGAGGATGTGGCCTGCCAAGAGCCTTCATCGGTGCTGGAGGGAGGCTCCTCCTTCAACCCTGAACTCTATAGGCCCTAAACCCTACAAGCCCTAAACCCTAAACCCTGATTCCTATAAGCCCTAAACCCAAAACCCTAAACCGCTTCAGGGTTCAGGGCTTAAGGTTTTTCGGAGTTGAAGATTCATGGTTTTGGGGGCTGAGGCGCGAGGGTGTAAGGTTTAGAGTTGAGCTGAGGTTTCAGCGGCTTACGCTTTTCAGGGTTACTTGAGATGCCAGAGACAGTATAAGCTCAGTGGTTGTAACGAGTTATCCTTGGGGCCCTTGGAATTGTAGGTCTCAGGTCATGGGGGGCTTGGGATTTAGAGCATTTACCAAGCAAGGCACTGGGCACAGCCCGTCGGGCTCACTGCAGTGAGCTCACTCTCAAGACTGCGTCCGAGCCTGTATATTGAAGGCATAAACCCCCACCTTCACCTTCGAGGCTGAAAGAAAGATTCGAATCACTTCCACGTCACGAGCATGTCGGAATGTGGTGCAACATGCATCTCTACAAGCACTGGTTTTCTCAGGGAAGGGATTTATCGCCTAGGATTGTTAGCCTTTGGCCTTCAGGTCGCGGGGTGTTTCGGGACGGGGAATTTCAGCCACTCGTGTCGACCTCCGCTCTGCGCCTCCAACAATCAATTCGGCTCTTAACCCTAAGGGTCCCTGTACCCAAGTAGTATGTACTTTGGCCTTAAAGTAGTCCCTATATAGGTACTTTGGGGCCAAAGTATATACAATTTGGGCACATGGACCCTTAGGGTAACATTCGGTCGCTTGGGGTTATAGTTCTTTTTGTTGAAGCCCCTTTTCGTCCCTACAGCAAGCTGCCAGTTAGATCAGTTAGAATGCCAAGATGGCCGAGGCATTGGGTAGCAGCCAACCCCCATACGACAAAACTACCAAGTGCAAAGACTACCACTACAACGTTACATACTATTCACAGCAAACCCGCGAGTTGGCATATGCTACCGACCGCACGGAGCAGGGCTCTACATTCTACATACGGTTCGACAGGTTTGACCACCATCTGCTTCCCACTGAGGCTTTCAAATCCTAAAGTCCTAAAGGCTATAATACATCAAACCCAGTAAGTACTGTTGATGATATAAATCCTGCACTACCTTGAGGACCCTAAACTATGGGAATTATGGTATACTCCTTATTCTGGGTAATGCAGGATTTATACCATCAACCGTATCACCGAATCTTGAACCTGCAGACCCCAGGAGACAGATCGCAGTCCCCGCACGGAGCATGCTCAACGTACGGACCGGGCACATAACGCTGAGGGATGTTCCTGCCACAGCAACGTACCTCCCATCACACTAAAGACAGAAAGTTACACCCTCAAAGCAGCACAACCACCTGCGACCTATACCCTACAACTGGATACTGCAGCGATGGACTCCTGTGCTCACTCAGCTAGTGCAGAAATCCACCGGGGCCCCTTCAAACTTGCCATTCTCAAAGAACGGAACCAAACCCAGACTCCTCCCGAAACTGTCTGGAGGAAGTAGGATCCCTGTTGGAGCCCCGGGTAAACGCAGGAAACTCAGGCTTGTAGCAGTTCAGCCCCCGTCTGAGACACCGACTCGCCGAAACATCGAACAACAGTGGAAGCACAATACGACAAATGCCGCAGTTCCATGTACCGATTTGCGGTTCTCAGGCGGTTTGAAATTATCAACTACATCCGCTGATGTCTCTCGGCTACTATGCTGTCTTCGGGCAAGGATAAAATCAGGTACGGAGGCTTAAGTAACAGTCCTTGACAGCACTTCAAGCAGCTAGTCCACATCATCAGACATGGGCGAAAAATTCCCCTCATTTCTATGTACTCCCGTCTCTGCCTATCTTGTTGTGCCTTCTCAGCTCGTTTGCGACCAGCGAGGCAGCGGAATGTCGTGGCTCCGTCGGTTCTAGGGTTCTTACGGCACCGGAGTCGAATCAGCAGCGTCTTGGCACCATCATGGTCACCATAGATATTAATTATAAGTTGTCACACCACGGAACGGCACAAGTACTGCAACATTCTAGAACTCATTGAACACATGAATCTTCTGTCTAGTTGGTTCGCTTCCCTTCAGTCACAGCCGAGCTTTTGGGCGGCATCACGATTTGATCCCCAACGGTCGCATCCAAGGCTCTTCAAACAGATTTCAAGCAGCCAGAAGCTGCCATGCGTGTGAATTCGAAGGCAGGGGAAGAGGATTGTCGACATTTTGCCAAGCACCCCACGACATGTCCATGCGTTGTGGAGGGAAGGACCCTCGACCGGCGGAGAACGCAAGGCACGCGGGAGCTGCTTGTCAGAGAGACAGTTGGAAATGCCAACACGGCTCTTGTTAGAGGATTTAACTTAAGTTACCATAATAAGGAAACCATATTATTTACTTTAGATCCCCATTATGGTAACTTAAATTAAATCCCCGAACAAGAACCCAGAAATTTGATTCCTTGAAAGTGCCAGGCCCAGGCGCGCTACGTACTCTGACTCTGGGCACTACCTAGACCCCCCAACCACCCTCTACTACACCCCCCAAATACCCACTATGAAGGACCATAAGGGGCTCTATGAAGGGGCCATTGGGGGGTCCTGGTATTCAACCATCATGCATCAACCAAAGCGGAAGCGACCTCGGAGGGCGGTGGAAGTCGAGCTCCCACACGATGGTCACTCTGTGTCTCTTACCGTCTCACGCGAGCTTCAAGTTTTCATTCCTAGCCCCACAAAACTTGATTAATTACGCCCAAATCCTGGCGAGAGGTAAGGCTTGAAATGAAGAAGCAAAACAAATCTCTGCAGATGCGGATTATGACATCTCAGCAGACGTCTCGACGACTCTTGCTGCATCGTGCGTGTAGGCACGGCAAGCCATACACACAAGAATTGCATACCTTAAGCCCCTACATCGTCTAAGCCAATACCCGAAATCCCACACCCCGAGTTCTCGCCCTAAAGCCTGAACCCTAAACTCTAAGAACCCTAAAAGCCCTAAACCCTAAAAACCCCAAACTACCCCTAAACACGCTCAGGCTTCGATACGGAGACGTCGGAGCTCTTCCTGTAGGCGATGCTGAATGGCCGGCTCAATGTCCCGGGTGAACATGTCACCTTGAGTTCCGAACTTTTCTGCTTTCAGGGTCGAGGGATTCGATTTTACCGGGCTTAATGCCAGCAACAAGTAAGCTTTCAGCTTGAATCGAACGTATTTCAACTCCAAAGAAAAAACACAAAACGTTTGCAAACTCAACTACTAAGTCACCCAGCATGGCTGACACAGTCATGCCGGCAACCTTCTTGTGAAGTTGCGAGCCTGTGGATTCTGTCGACTCTGGGGCGTCGTGACGTAGCCCTTCCTCGATGATGTCCGAAAGCCCCGCGACTTGCGAAGCCAGCGTCGGAACTTTTTGCACCTTGTGCTGCAAGCTATCGCGAAGCAACCGCAACTTCGCGGATCCCTTCATGCTGTGGATCCTCTCACGAATGTGCTTCGAAAATGACTGCGGCTTGCCGTTGTCGTGGACAAGATGGCAGTACTTGCAAGCCGTTCCACTTCGGCACTGACCCAAAGCAAGTAAGACACAAGGTCGGCGGCAGAAATGGGGATGCCCGAGGCTCCCGGGCAGAGAGTCTTGATCACAAGCCTCTCCAATGCTTTGCGGCACCGGTGTTGGGGGAAAGGCGATGTCTGTGGTTTCCGTCAGAGCCCTTTGCGGGATGCGGAATTTGAGCGAGAGCCTGGCCTCCGCTAGGAGCCCTGCCAGGTAGCCGTCTTCGCACTGAGCGCTCTGAGAATGGGTCATTAAAGGCGTGCTCTTGCAACGCCTGAGACTCGAAGACTCAGAGCCCTCCTCGACATCGATGAAAGTGAACTTGGACTTGAGCTTCAGACCGTCAAGCTGGGCTTGCGAGAGCATGGGTTCGCAAGCGGATCGAAGATCTGTTCTTCGACACTCTTAAATAAGTGGGATCTGAGCTCGAACTGCAAGGAAGCGGCAACGTCATAGCAAGCCGGGGCAGACTTCCCCCAGGTCTTGTTATGCCCTTTGTATTTTTGCACTCGGCTGATTCTCTCTTCAGGCAGCAACAAGTGTGGTGCAAATCCCGTAAACCGTACTTCTCAGATGGAAGACTCCTCAGTGTCTAATCCTTGCATTGACTGGAAGTGGCACATTTATACCCCCTATTTATCATAGCCAACCCTCGACTTCGAATCTCCCCTGATCCCTACACCCTTTCCCGAAGGAGGGCTCTCCTCTGAAACCCTAGTACAGGATAGTATAGGTGTCTGAATACCCTCTGCAGTAGGGCCCCTTCATTACAGGGCAAGCCGACCCAAAACCCTAAAACCCTAAACCCTAAACCCTAAAACCCTAAACCCTAAAACCCTAAAACCCTAAACCTCCAAGCGAGCCTGGCCCTTGACATGAACCGTAAATCACCCGAGAACCCTGAACCCGGACACACCCGGAAGGCTCTTTGATTTCTGTGCCCTCCTCGAGGCACAGCCCCAAAAGCCTCAGCAGAACGGGGGGAGCGGGGGGTGTCTAGGAATTGAAGGACCTAGGCTTCAGGAATTCAGTTCACATTTCCGGGAGTAGAGGGTTGCAGCAAGGTCTGAGGCGTTAAGAATATAGCTTTAAACTATTGTCGAGACTCTGAGGTTTATAGAAGCTGCTCGCATGAACCATGTGAGAACTTTGTTGATGCTGTAGTTTCGCAAGGGCTTAGGGTTGCAAGAGGCAAGAGCTACAACAAGGCCTGTACTCTGCTGGGCCGGTTGTTTCAGTTCTGCTCAAGTCCGTGCAAACTTTTGCCAACAGACGCCCAGCAGTGACTTCGAACACCTATCTGGGGGTTTCCGAAAATAGGGAACTCTAAAAAAGTACCCCAAATACTAGGATCCTTATTATAAGGACCCCAATTTAAGGTACCCTTATTATGGGAAACTCTTATCTGCTGTCATTCCTACCTGTCTGGACACGAGGCCGAGTCTCATGAGCGACAGCGTTTACAAGAGAGCTACTTAGAGGTCCACTGCCTAGAAGTTGCCCCCCGCGAAAAGCTAACCATGTAACTGCTGTACTACAATTACATTTACCTCAACCCTGTAAGATAGGGTAGAGTTACTGCTTCTTCTTGTATAATCCCGACAGGCAAAAAAACTACTACATAACACTGCCCTGCGCTTCTGAAGTACTGAGCACAGGCTTCACGTCAGCACCCATGGAGTCTGCAATGTCGCTTGTCTTGGGACCAGCTGTTCCAACCGACGACTTGCCAGCAGCAGGCTTTCGAACAAAAAATCGCGCCACGAGTTTCGGGGAGAACTGCGCAAGAAGCCTCCAGAACCCTGCTCCCTGGGGTGGGCATGTTTGATGGGCTACGGTTCTGGTCTAGTGCCCCAAAGGGGGGCGTGCCAGTCACACAAGTTTGCAAGGACCAAGCTCGACACTCCACAACCCGAATGTGCACGAGCTATCCGGGGACCCGAAAACCCCGACCCCGAATTCAAGGGACTAAAGGAGAGACCCTTAAAGGGACCCTTGGGGTTATATAGCCGCTTCATGAGACTATATAAGGGGTGTTAGGATTACGGGTCCCTTCTAGGGGTCCCTCCTATTGTCCCTTAACGAATCCATTTTAGGTCCACCGGTCATCACCAGGTGCCCCAACTCGGCGCGCTCTCGCTCCACCTCGAAAGCACGCTGCCATAGCCGATTCTCCTGTTTTGGCAGGCGGCTCCAGGATTTTACGGGGGCGTTCGGGTCTAGGAATTGGTCCCATCCTTTTAAGCATCAAGCGTACAAGTTTCGAAGTCTCACCCTCATAACCTTAAGCCCAAACCGAAGGACCCCTTGGGGGGAGAGGGGGGCTCAGCTGGGGATCGGCCTTCGGGAGTTTCCGAAGGCCAAACAGGATTGAACCCCAATGCGTGCGAGAAGCCTAAGGTAACTTTAGGTTACCCTCCGACTGAAGGGGATTTGGAACTGGACAATGGATCCACATACCAGCCCCTTGAAGAAAAGACAATTGCTAATTCAGAGGTCTGAGTAAAGCTTAGGCTTCAGCAGTTTCTTAAGGCATCTGCAGCTGTCAACCAAGTGCCGCGCGAAACCCGATAACCACTGTCACTTTCCTCCTCTTGCAAGACAGAGCCAGCAGAAATCAGAAGCCATAACCCTTTAATTTTTTGAACCCAGACTCTGCCATAACCCTAAACCCTAAACCCTAGGCCCTTGTAAACCCTAAAAGCCATAATACAGCGAACCCCTGCAGCCCCAAACTCCTACCGTCTTCTACTCCTAGCCCAGACCTCACCCGAAACCCTGCACCCTAAATCTCAACAGCAAGCCATAAAGCCCACCCTGCATCCTAAACCCTAAACCNNACCCTGAACCCTAAACCCTATACATCTCAACCTTTCAGTGGGGACTCGTTGGGCCAACCAAACGCCCGGGCGGGAGCCTCGCTGTCCTGAGCAGCACGAACCACCTCGGAGGAACGTCAAGTCCTAAGCCTACAGGGTCTTTAGTTTTGCCTAGGGCTAGGGTTTAGGGCTTTTGCCTACAAGGCTTACTTAGGGGGGTGAGGGCTTGGGGTTTAGGGCCTACTTGCCCAGTAGTGTAAGGGAGCGAAAGCTTAACGTTTGGGACTAGGCAGATAGGGGTTGCACTACCTTAAAATGTTTAAAGAGGTTGCCTACCCTACCAGCAAGAAGCGTTACTGGAGCGCTTCGGGTTGCTTCGGGATTTAGTATGGTTTCGTGCCACTGAGGGGTTCAGGGTCACTCTACCAAAAGCTTCAGGAGAATTCGAGGCTTAGGGCTTCTGAAGGGTTAGGGTTGCGCTTACTCAGTATGGTTTCGTGCTGCAAGACTTAGGGCTACTTCATGGTTAGGAAGAGCCCAATACCCCTTAATTCAGGNNNNGGGCCTGAATATTATGATTTAAGGTGTATTCCTTAATTAAGGTGGTATTGGGCTCTCTGGGTAGCTAAACAGCCTCGACTCCGCAAGCCTTCATACGGCTGATGATGTAAATCCTGCATTGCCTTAACGACCCTAAATTATGGGAATTATGGCCTATTCCTTATTATGGGTAATGCAGGATTTTTTTCATCAACCGTATTAAGGCCCCTATACCCTAAACCCTTATAGTGGCCCTTATAGACCCTTTAAGGAACTTTAAAGGAACCCCCCTTATTATGGGTAATGCAGGATTTATATCATCAGCCATAACACGAACTGCAGACAAGGGGAGTCAGCCAGACCCCAGGTTCCAAAGCCCCAAACGTTTAGGGTTCAGGGTTTAGGGTTTAGGGCGTAGGGTTTAGGGTTCTTTTTTCCCTCTCGCATGGCTGAGGATCTATGCCCACTAGCGAGGTTGGAACAGTTTAGGGTTCAGGGTTTAGGGTTTTGGGTTTAGGGCCTAAGTTTAGGTACCCTCCAGAGAAACCCGATTCAAGAAGGATCCCGAAGAAGGACCCTATGAAGAACAACCCTCACATCCCAACTATCCCAGTGCCACCTTCTTTTTTTGGCTACTGAACTCAAGTCTAGCGAGACTACTCCCCATGCCGCTTGAATCTTGAACCCGATACCCCCCCTAAGCTGTCAAACCCGAAAGCCCAAACCCTAAAACCTTACGCCGATTCTAGGGTTTAGGGTTTAGGGTTAAAGCCCGAAACCTTTTTGGCGAGCTACAGGCCACCACTTCGGGCATGCCTCCCGAGCATTGCAGGGATCTTCTCAGACAGCCGACAGCGGTCGCAGCAGTTCTTGTGTTTAGGGTCTTTAGGGTTTGGGGTTGCGAGGGCTCTCTCCAGCCGAGGCATTTTTCAGGTTTAAGGTATAGGCCTTACCAAACATTGACACAGGCTTTCACTTGGGTGCTGAGCGGGCCTGTGTAACATGATCGCCCTGTCGTTCCCAGATAACTAACCTGAAACCTAGCCCAAAACCCTATCTTAGTTTTCATTGTTACTACCATTATGAATATTGCTATTAACATCACTGTAATTAGTTATTCTTATTGCTGTTCTCATTCTTGGTTAATTCGTGTGTCGCTGCTGCTCCACATGACGGCGGTCGTGGCGAAGGTCCCGAGCCTCTCTGGTACTGTACAAAGTTCCCAGGCCTTCCAACATCCCTCAACCAAGGAATCTGCCTTAGCTTATAGTAGGGTCCCTCATATGATTTCTTAAAAAAACCAACATCCCTCAATTAAGGCATATACCTTAACTTATAGTGGGGTCCCTTGTACGATTTCAGGTATATTCCTGCGTTAAGGGCTTTGCAGTAGGGTCCCTCATATGATTTCAGGTATATTCCTGCGTTAAGGGCTTCTGGAAGGTCTGGGCTCAAGGTGCCATGAATTAGAGTGCAGCCATCTCCCACAACAGGGTGTTGGGGTATATGAGTATATGATAACATAACCTACCCTAAGCCGGAAGCTCCAGAGCCCTAAGCCGTTAGGGTTTAGGGGTTTTAGAGTTTTAGGGGTTTTAGGGGTGTTAGGTTTTAGGGGTTAGGGGTTTAGGTTTTTTTTTGATGTGTTAGGGGCTCTAGGGTTTTAGGGTATACATAGGGGTAACCAAATATTCTGGCCCTCAATGCTCTAAAGGACCCTCACAAGGGACCCGAACTGCCAGGGACATGGTCTCTAAACCCCTTCAAACCCAAACTCCAAAACCCCAAGAACCCCCCAAAACTTGGCACATAATGCAGCCCCGCAGAATAAACCCTCTATGTGCAAACCCCTAGAGCCTTGCTACCCTTCTTGGCGCAGTCTTGTACATGCCCGCCTGGTTCCCAAAGTTGCTGGAGTCTCGGCAGAAACCCTAAGCCTCTGAAACATCTGAAGCACCTAAACCCTTCTTGATTGAGCTGGGACTGCAATCCTAAACCCTAAGCCCT